CTTCTGGAATTCCTATGATACGGTCATTGTCCCGTTTCATTGAATCACTTAGTTCTCTAATTCTCCCCTCGTGATTCTGGATTTTTTTCTCTTTTTCCATAATTTTATCTTCTAATTCACCTATTCTCCCCTCTGTCGCTTCAGTTCACACTGTGGCCACCTCCATTTTATTTTGCACCTCATTTATAGCACTTTTTTAATTCATGATGACTCTTGATCTCTGTGGCAACAGATTCCTAAATTCTTGTTCAGTTATGCTGCTTGTATCTGTTTTGATCAATTTTTTAGCTGTCATTTCTTCCTGGAATTTGATGAGAATTCTTCCATTGCATTATTTTGGCTAGTTTTCTGTCCCTTATGAATTTTAAAAGCTTGTCATGTGTGCTCTACATCTGCGATCACTGCTATGTTAAAGGGGGTCATACACTGTCCAGGGTCTGGCCCTTCAGGTGGTGTTTTGTGGAGAGTGTTACTTTCTCTCTGTTGTTGTGACTTTGGTTATTTTATTTCCCTACTCGTAATGATGTTTTGGACCCTCCACCAGGTGTGGTTTAATTTTTTCCTTGAAATAGCCCTATGGCCCCTCAGGTTGTCCTGGTTTCTCCCTGGTAAACTTAGTTTCTTTTCCTCCCAGACTCTTGGGGTTCAAAGTCCTTTGGCTTCAGCCCTTCTTTGTTTGAGAGACGTGGGAAGTACAGATTCCCCTACGTCTCAGCCATGCTGGCCACCCACCTCTCCTAAACTACTGATTTAATTTTACAGAATACATACTTTATTCTAGTATTACAAGTACGTTATGGGTGAAGTGTACTGCGCTCCCAAGTTCAGATGTTGAATCTTTAACCCCTAGTACTTCAGAATGGGGTTATATTTGCAGACAGGGACTTCAGAGAGGGAATTAAGTAAAACAAAGCCCTCAGGGTGGGTGTAATCTAATCTGACTGGTATCATTATAAGGGGAGGAAATCTGAACACGCAAAGAGAAAAGAGACACCAGGGATGTGAGCACACACAGAAAAGGCCATGTGAGGCCATATTAAGAAAGGCATCCATTTGACAGCCAAGGAGAGATATTTCAGGAAAAAACAAATTTACCAACACCTTGATGTTGGACTTCTAACCTCCAGAACTGCAAGAAAATTATTTTTATTGTTTAAGCCACTTAGTCTGTGGTATTTTGTTATGATAGCCCTGGCAAATTAATACATCAAGGGAATATAACAGTATGCAATAAAACAACAATTTATTTTGGGGGTGCCTGAGAGGCTCAGTTGGTTAAGTGTCTGACTTCAGCTCAGGTTATGACCTTGTGGTTTGTGAGTTCAAGCATCCCGTCGAGCTCTGTGCTGACAGCTGAGTCTGGAGCCTGCTTCAGATTCTGTGTCTCCCTCTCTCTCTGCCCCTCCTCTACTTGCTCTCTCTCTCTCTCAAAACTAAACATTAAAAAGAATTTTTTTTAATTTCAGAAACTTTAAATTCTTAAATGTTGTTAATAAAAAGAAATAAATTAAATGCCACAAAAATAGTTATTTTCTTAAAGCCTAGATTATCAAACTCCTTTTTAAACTGTCTAGAACAGAAGCATATAGGACTCATAGTTTTCTCAAATATTGCTATTATAAAAAGAAAAATGGGGAAATTTTATACTCTAATTAAACTTACTATAATTGTGGTATTTTAAAGATTATATTTAAATACAAGATAAAGGGAGCCCATTCCCTGAAAGGTAATATAATTCTCTCTGCAAAAATTCATGAATGTATTTTTTTTTTTTAATATTTATCTTTGAGAGACAGAGTGTGAATGGGAAAGCGGCAGAGAGAGAGGGAGACACAGAATCTGAAGCAGGTTCCAAGCTCTGAGCTGTCAGCACAGAGGCTGACATGAGGCTCAAACCCATGAATGGTGAGATCATGACCTGAGCTGAAGTTGGTCACTTAATGACTGAGCCAGCCAGGTGCCCCCCATTATTTTTTAAATATTTTTAAAATATTTTTTAAACATTACAAGGATTCAAAATTTGTTTATATCCAAGCACATAATACTTTTACTCAGTTACCTTAAAGCATACTTAATATTTTTTAAATCACTAGTATTTTATCTGTGCTAATATACAATTCACTCAATATAATACAATTGCACAGTGTCTACTAGAATGTAGGCTCCCAGAGGCAAAGACTAGGTCTGTCTTGTTCACTGTTGTATTCTGAGCACTGAGAACAGTACCAGGCACACAGAAAAAACTCAGTATATATATATATTCAGTATATATATATATTCAGTATATATATATATTCAGTACATACATATA